GTTGAAGAGCAGTTTGAAAATATTGAACTAAGTCAAGATTCCACAGAAACATTACCAGTGGAGAACATGCTAGGTCAGTTGAGGGTGAATTTATTGGAAAATTTTTATTTCAACTTGTATAAATTATTTCTTTTAGATGGAATTATGGGTGAAGAAAATGCAGACTTTGGTGAACTGTTTAGTCAATTAAGGGCTATGAAAGAACATGCAGCGTTGTTGCCGACTAATCAAAGACGAATAGCAGCCGAACAATTAGTCACCGCTTTTTGGAAAGCGATGGGCGGTGATCCGTCAGAAATGGAAGATTAATTCGTGTATTAACTGTACAATGCACTCGAGCACATATTAGAAACGCTTTACTTTACGACGATATCTTTTTGATATATTGGTTTTAAAAAAAAAAAAGCAGCAAACATACAATTGCAATAGTTAATTGTGAAATATTTGAAACCGTTTCAATAAAGTCAACGTAATAATATCAAATTATAATAATCATAAGGATAAAATGAAAATATATAGTATTACATGTATAAAATTTACAGTTAAAACGTCGTATAAAGATCTCGTAGTAAAATTTATCGAATTTGCTACTTCATATGATTTCTTCTGCAAATGTTTTTATCGAAATTTCGTATAATTTCATTATAGATATTAAATTAAGTATAGTAGAAAATAGGTCATATTAAATCGAATGTAAATGTAAAATCTTTATTTGTAAGTGACAGATCTGCATGAAAATCTGGAAGTCATAAAATCTTTCAAACATTTCTCAATTGAAATAATGATCGAAATGAACAAAATATACTTGTCTGTTGTACCTGGTTTATTCCTCAAATATTGGCATCCTTGTTTTCGCCGTATTGCCGAGCGTCTGTAGTTGCCGGCCTGCCGTTTGACTAAAATGTCTGATGCTTTTCTCACAGTGGCTCTATTTGATTTGGACGAACGTAGAAATAGAAAAGTGGAATTAAAAACGTTCGTGCAACCGAGAGATTCAACGTGTGACGTGCGAGATATTTTATCGTTTTTATCGCGGACAACATGTACTCGTCGGTTACTTAGCATTCGACATGAAGTAAGTTATCTTTTAATATCCAACAACACTATACTCAGTGATATTTGGATCTCTTTTAATATTCTTTTGGAATTTATGTATATTTGTTTATGTAATGACAGTTTCATGAAATTCTGTTGAAACTGAGTGCATTTGTTGCAACCTTTTGTGTCGTACCTGAAAATCGAATACTCTAACTCCTCGTTATTTTACCTGAGATTTTCCTGATAAAAACATGCTTCAATGGTTTGAAGTATTGGATATTTTAATATTTCACCTAGCCATCGAATCAGCTTAAACATTTATTGAGAACAGTTAAATGAAATTATTATTATTGATGATTGTGCATAGAATACCTGTGCTACTTCTTAATAAAGTGCTTATGTGTGTGTGTGTTGGTGTGAATGTTTGTATTTAAAGTATATTGTTGGTTTTTTGCGGGAAAGTGTACGTGCATATGTTTTTTTTATAACATAGTATATTAAAATGTGATAGAGAAGTTAATGACTCTTTTATATGACTCAAGCTGCAATTTTTTTTTTTGCAAAGGAATTATAATTCATTGAAATGCAAATGTAAATTGTATATTTTTTATTTTGTAGAGTCTGGTATATATTGAATATGAAAAGTAAAACTTTTGTTGATGCTTATAATACTCATTTAAAGAATAATTATATGCATGATAAAGTAAGGCTTTGTCAAAGATAAAGGTAGATGTAGTTGATCCTCCTTAAGGTAAATTTCTAAATTTACCCATTTTTTTCTATAATAAACTAATTTCATTGTGTTCCTTTATTGCAATATAATTTTATGTATGTAGAAAAACCGGAAAAGAAAAGTGTTAACACAATGTCGCAATCAGAAGATGCTTATGCTCCAGAGGAACCAACACCAGATATTCCAATATCTTTGCTTGATATACAAATGCCAGAAACACCAGAAAGTACAAGGGGCCAAGCTAGTGATGGAGACACACCCAGGTTGGAGAGTCCCAAAATGCTTAAACCTGTATTAGGAAAAGTACAAGCTAAAAAGAGATTAATGGCATTTGCAAATAAGTTTAATGTGCTACCAAAAGTCCAAAGTAAATCCAATTTACTTCAAGCACATTCTACTAAAATTTCTAAATCTAAAAGTATGTCAGGTGACAATAGTAAATCTTCACAAAATGACTCAAGCACAGGGTTAAGTATAGAGTCAGATTCTATGCAATTTCATAATCGTCATTCAAATGGTAGTAAATCAAAAAAGAAAACAGGTAATGTTTCATAAATTTAGATCATACATTTGTTTTTATATTGAGAAAAATATATCCTTTAATAATTCTATGGTATAATTGTGCAGAGGAAAAGATACTGGCTATAGAAGAAATTAGAAGAGAAGAATCTAAAAGTAAGATGTTATTGGCAGAAGCTATGGCTGCAGGTACTTAGTAGCATATTTTGTGTTAAAATCAATTGCTGGAAATAATAACTTTATCTTACAGCTAGTTTAGAAGAAGAAACATATGCAAATAGAAATGGACAAAATTTGTTAGAAAATGTAAAAATAATAAGAGAGAGAAATAGACAAGATGACATTAGTGTTTCCCATAAAAATGCTTCTAAGTCGTCAATAGAAAGTAAATATTCCGAAAGGTATAAAAGCATTTGTTGTTGTTATATTATAAGTAATTATTTTATGCATTTGTGTGTATATGAATAATGAAAAAAAATTTCATTAAGGCGGCGGTACGGGAGAGACGAGCGTCGAGATAGTGTGAGTAGAGAGTCAAAAGATTATAACGGTAGTAAAGAACGATACTATAAAATCTCTCATGATAAAGAACAACGTAGAAAAGATAAAGATAAGAAAGATGATAGAGATAAGCGAGATGATAGTAATAAGTATGAAGAGAGTAGAGATAGAAGAGATGAAGAAAGAGAGAAAAAAGATAGTGAAAGAGATAAGTGGGAGGAAGTGCGAGAAAAAAAAGGAGTGAAAGAAAAGAGAGAGAGTTTCAAGGAAAAGAAAAGTGATTCGCAAGAAAGAATTTCAGAAATCAAAGATAAAAGAGAGAAGGAGAAGGATAAAGACAAGGGAAAAGAGAGAGACATAATGAGCTCGTCCTCGTGGGTAGAATTAAAAAAGTGTGGTATAACAATGGATGATATTATCGATATTAGAAGACGTGATCACTCAGAGCGATCAACAAAAAACAGGTTTGTCTGTATTCTAAAAATATTCGTTGGTCATTCAGTTACATTGTTTCTCATATATTAAACAAATATCAGACAAAAACAAAATATGTGTACATGTATATTACAGAACCGCTGAAGATTATTTACGTCACTTCGAGCAAATGTTAATGCTGAACGATTTTCGTTCAAAACGCTACGCCTTTGTTGCCGAAGGTCTTGACGGTCCTAAAGAATATCCTCCTGAATCAATTAGAGTCACCAAACGAGGAAGGCCTCAATTGTTTTACTCCGAAAATCCTCGTATGTCACTGTTCATCAATCATCAACACATTCTTCAAGCAGTTACCACTGATCATCGTGAAAAAATGCGGGAGATATGCGAGACAGACTTTATACGGTATATCAAAATATCTTTTATCCCGTCAATTTTCCTTTACCCATTCAGATCCTAACAATTCTAGAGATAATCCAGAAGAAGCGGAAAAGCCTCAGCGTATACGTAATTGGTATCCAAAAACGGGTATCTGTAAGTCTTCTGAAAGCGCGAAATGGCACGTACCTATCAGCGTACAGCTACCTAAATCAAAATGGGACAGTGAGGACGAAGACAGGTTATCCAATGAAACCGAGAAAGGAGAAGGGGAAAATGAAGTGGAATCCAGTAATATTCCCTCGGAACGAGGTAAAACTTTAGTATATTTTATTTCAAATTTTTTTATTATATACAAAAATGCATTTAATACATGTTATTCATTTTAGAACCAGAGGTATTTTCTCCACGATTAAGCACTATGGAGAAGGAAATAAATAACGACAAGAAAATAGTTAAAGAAGACGAGACATCTGTTGTTAATAAGGTGGACGACAACAGACGATCAGCCTCTCCTTTGCTACAGTCAGCTGGCAACGAAAAATTAGCCTCAGAGTACGAGCAGTTCATGAAGATGGTTTGCAGCGATATTCCAATATCGAAGGAGTTTTCCCCGAAGCCAACTAAATCCTCTGCTTCAACTTTGAGCTATCATGAATTTAATATAGAAACCAACTTGCCCGAGGACAATAATTTCTCGTTCGTAGAGCACAGTATATCCGGAAAATCAGATAAGAGCGATTCGAGTAAAGTTGAGGAGAAACTCAAATCGAATGAAAATCGACAGAACTTGGAAAAAATTTCAAAGATCGAGGACGATCGAATATCTTCGAGCAGTTCTCAGATTCAGATTCAAGAACGCATAAGAGTAGAGAACAAGGACATACATGACAAAAGTGAGTCTGAAGAGGATTCGAAGTCGATACCCAGCGACTGGGAAAACGTTAGAATCAAAGTGGAACGTTTGAGTGACGAAAATTCCGATTCCAGAGAAACGAGGAAGAAGAAGAGACGGAAAAAGATGACTTCAAGTAGCAGTGAGTCGTCCAGTTCGTCAAGTTCCTCAGACTCGGATGAAGAAGTGAAAAGAAGGAAGAGAAAGAGAAAATTATCCAATGACTCAGACTCGCCTTCAGATACTGATAGCAGCGATAGTAGCAGCAGCAGCAGCAGCGATTCCTCGAGTTCTGACGATAAACGAAAAAAACGCAGAAAGAAAAAGCGGAGAGCTGAAAAAAGGAAGAAGAAAGCGAAACGAATAGCTAGAGCGAAAAAGAAGAGAAGAAGAAAAGTGAGTTCTGATTCCAGTAGCAGCGATTCCTCCGATGACAAAAGGAAGAAAAAAGCGGCAAGTAAAAAGTCTAAACAAAAAAAAGTGTACAACGATAAGCAGGAAAGTAACGAACACCTGGTGAAGGCTATACAGAAGTCTCCTTTAGAATGTTCGCCGGAGAACGCGAAGTTGATACGCTCCCAGGTTCCTTTAAAGAAGATCAAAGAAGAAGCTAAGGCAGAAAACAGAAAGAAGCCTGAGAAACGTGACATTTGGAGTAAGGAACAGGAAATGGTCAGGAAAGTGATATCTGATGGCAGCGTGTGTAACAAAGCTCACAAAGACGATGAGAAGAGTAAAGCTGATGAACGATATTTGGAGGAATGGGAGATGGATTCTGTGATAATGTCACAAAAAGGAGAAAAGAAAAATGTTGAGAAAGTAGACAATGTCGAAGTGGAGAACATAAGAAAGCTGGATAGGAAAGATGAACGGAGCAAGAAGGACGATAGAATGAAGAAGGATGAAC